GGCAACATAGCTCATGAAGGTATCATACCCTTCAAGAAGCTTGACCAGGGACTTGTGGTTGTTTCTTGCTTCCAGTCACACACAAATGTGAACTGGGTGCTGTCATATTTTTACCTGATTTTTTTTTAACATATTTTAAAGGAAATTATTTTTCATTTTCTGTGAGGCAGCAGGAAAAAAAGCAAGACTTGAACTTATTTTGGTGTCCAAAGGCAGACACGTTTGAAGATAATTTTTTTGTCTGTGTTTTTTTTTCACAGGCCTTGTGTTGTAAAAGATATGAAAATAAATAAACAAGAGACTAAATGGAAAATGGGTAGTGAGTTACCCCCTTCTCCACCACCAACGTTCTGTGAATATTAATCAAGTGCCATTCTTTGAGTATATTTGATTGCTGGTGTAAGACACTCAAAATGACACATTTCCCAATAGGCAGGAAGCTAGTTGTCATGTCAACACTTGTGATTTATTTGCATTTATTTGTGACAGATTTTTATTCCTCTTCTCATTCTGTCACTCAGCAGCAGCAAATTATCCCCTTTTTGGAGAGATAAGAATATCTGGACAACTGTGTGGGAGAACATACCAGAGGGAATGAGCTTCTAAAAATATGGCTCCTGACCTCTCCTCTTTGTTCCACCTAATTTTAGTGCTACCTTGAAGAACAAGTCAAGGCTGCTGAGCTCTTTGGGTAGCATGGCGGTATATAAGACCATCTTGTTTTCTGAGAAGTTGCTTTTATCCATTTCAAAGGTGTCTTAGATTCCATGCTGAGGAGGTAAATAGCAGCTCTGGACCAAGGGTGTATGAAGAACCTTAATTTATCCCAGTTTATAGTCCGACCTCTCTACTGCTGCTGGTATTTCTTGCTGGGAGAAAGCACAGCTCCAATATTCCAGTTATTTGGCACAGTCTCCAGATCAGATATTTTACACCATACACTTTAATTAGCTCCAGATATTCTGAGCTGATGCCAGCAACAGTTTCTGCTGCTTTAGTGTCATCAGTGGGACTACATTTTCATTACTGTACCAGACCTGTGTGACTGCTCTGAATCAGCCATGTAGTCCTTATTAACCTGGAATCCCCAATGCCTCAACCCAGAACCAGGTCTGCAGCCTGTAAACATAGACCTTTGGTCATGCGATTGGGCATGAACCTCTGTTAGATTAAAGCTTGGTAGTAGTTTGTGACTTTTTTTAGACAATCTATATTTTTAAAATTATTATTCTTGTTATCAATGCCTCTGATTTGCATTCTTCTTGCATTCTTAAGAGTCTGTGGATGGGACAAGGCTAGGGAAGGGTAAACTGCAAATTTGTGAATCTCATCTTTGAATTTGGGAAGGCAGTTAGCTCAGTGTCAGAGAATTTCAGTTGTGCCCCTCCAATACTTTCCACTGAACCACGTGTTGCCGTCACTGGAAATACACAAACTAAGGACAATAGCAGGTTTTAGGGGATGGAGAATCTTGTAAGCATCTTTACTAGGCTAGGTACTGTCCTTTTAAACATTCCTTTTATCCTTTTGGGCTCAGTTTGACAAGATCCTTGTTAAAAGTCACAGTTGTGAGCTAAAATCATCGCACCAGCCTCACTCCACCCCTTACAAATTCATTGTTTTCTTCATTGATGGTCTGTCCTCACCCTTTGTAGAAAAGTGAACAAATATGTGAATCTAAGAAGGCTGTAGAAGTGCCGCAGTGTAAAAGATATGACCCTTTATCACTGCAGCCGTCATCTTAAGTCGTATTTTCGTTTTCTCCCTAATTTGCAGTTTTCAAAAGAGCAGTTGAAAGACAGAGATGGCATATTTAGATTATATGCATCCAGAGACGCAGTGCCTTGCTGGTTCTGTTTCATGAGATCCTTTCTCAGCCTGAATTAAATAATGCTTAATCCCCTATAACTCCTGACAATTTGCTGGAGGTGAGCATGTCTCTTCTTGCTACTCCAAGCAACTTTCTGTGTGTCTTCTCCATGTTCTTCTCCCAGTCTTGTTCCTTCTCTCAAGCAATGCCAAGGACTGACAAGGCATTCCATTAGTATGACAATCTTCTCATCTTCGCTCTAGACAGAAGCATTTGATGCCTCTTGCAGTGCACATAACCACTGTTGAGACACTTTAGCTAGTTATGCTATTTCATGCTTGTGTGTTTTCATACCTAGCCTATATTGGCTATAAGAATTAATTTTGGGAGGTGTTTGTTATTTTCACAGCAAAATAGGTTAAACTTTATAGTGCTGGTTTGGGCTTTTTTTCCTCCTTGTGTGTTTACTACCACAAATAAAACCAGGCTTCAAGACTAGGGTATTTCAAGGGGAGGATGGGGATACAATTCCCAGCAGGGTTGTAGAATCAATAAATTCTGCCTGGGTGGCTTTTGAAGTCTTCTTTTGCTCCATATCGTCTTGTCATCAGTTTTCCGATGCATTTATGATTTGCACCCTCCATTTATGGTTTGAACTCCAGTTGCCTGAGGGATGTTTACACAATGGGGAAGGGAATGGTGGGTGTGGAAATGTGGTGAATTCCTGAGTCCAGAGAGCAGTTACAGTTTTAAAGGCTGGAGGCAGATCATGCAATAACATCTAGCTAGTTGGAATGAGGTTAAGAATTCCCTTCACAGGCCTTCTTTTGAGCTGCTGATGACATTTTCAGACAATAGGCCCATGCCTGGGCATTCCTCATGTGTACATATGCTCCCATTACAGACACCCACTATTTGACCTGTCGGATCCAGGAGTGCTCGGAGACCAAAAGGAGTGGGCCGTTTTCGCGCTCCATTGACATCAGCTCCCTTGTTGTTCAGGATGAATATATCTTCATCCAGGTATGTTGGCTTGATACAAATGTGACATGAATTCTGCCTGTGTGAAGTATTTGTTCTGTGGAAGAGAGGAGGCATAATTCTAGGACAAGTTAATGGGACTGTAACTCATAAGAGCTGGGAGTCTATATCTGCCTGCTATAGATTAGCGATGCAGTCTTGGGTAAAACACTTGATCTCTCTGCTCATCACTTTTCTCATGGGGAATCTGATATTTGAAAGTTCATTCATTAATAGTCATAAAAGTCCATGGATTTCACAGAAACTAACTTGGTATTGTGGCTACTTGGAAAACATAAAGAAGCTAGACATGAATTGGAGAGAACAGGAAAGAAGTGTGAGTGATCATTTAAAAAATGGACAGGCTTATGCTGATTTGACAGTCAAGTAATGCTAATGAACCACATAAAGATTTGCAGTGGGAGGTAAAATATCAGAAAGATTGGAAAAAGTTGTTATAGGGCGACTTCAAAGTGGAAGGTGGCTGTAAATTTGTCATCTAGTTGATGACGGTTTCGGAGATGAGGAGAAAGTGACATAAACTGAATGTGAAACTGCTTGGTTTTGAGATTTTCTAAGAATGCATGGGCTGTATGCAACAAGGCCATGTCTCCCTATTTCATACCTGTGGAAGTGTGAGAATGAATAGTACAGTATGGAAGAACACTTCCTGAAGATGTGCCATTTGGGTGAAAACTGGGAGCCAGGCTGCAGTGATTCCAGGTCATAGGAAGCTCAGGAGATGCAGAGATTACAGACACAATTATGATAAGTGCTTGTCACCGATGCTGAAGAGGGGGAATGAGATGAGATGGAGCTTGGATCCAGGTGGTACAGAAAAAACATATGCTTTCCTTTTTGAACAAGACTGGGTTATGTTAAGCTTCTATTTGACTTTCCTGGGGGAACATTTTTCTTGAATGCATCCAAATTTTAAGAAGTTCTGCTCTGTTTATTGTGAAATTGTTCTTTGAAGTGGGAGTTTAAGTGGGAAGGCTGATACTTCTCTGCTGGGATTAGGTGGAGGACTGATCTGGGAGGACTGCAATGTGGAAACCGCATGCACTTGAGTAACATTGGCCAACTTCTCCTGTGAGTAGGGAAGTCTGCTGCTCTGGAGATGACAAATTGCTATGAGAGCCACAGGTCCCCTCATTCCTCCATGAAACCCAGCCTGCTACTGCTTCCTTTGGTGTCATGGAGAGACCTGCTGGTAGAAAACACTGAGAATGTACCCTTTCCAACTTAGTAAGTCACAATTTGACTAGAGGCAATGGTTCTCCAGTCATTAAATTCCCTGTTCTCTGAGGAATATTTTAGAGACTCTCTCAATCTGGTGGTTTATCTCTGTGGCTGAGGGTATTGTGGAACATCCAGTTGTTTATGGCGAGCATGAGGTCTTACAGACATTTCTCATTTCACAGCTCCCACCTGTGTTAAAGCAAGGTTGCTCTGTTTAGAAACTTGTGCTTGCAGTGAGGACATCTGCCTGGTGTGCGCATTCCTCTGCCTCAGATTGCCAGTGGGTGGCTCAAGTTAATAGCTGCTAATTGCTTCAAGTTAAAAAAAAAAAAGTGTGTGCATGTGTTTGTGTGTATACAAGCACATGCAGGTATGTATACATAATACTTCAAGTGCCTTGACTGTCCTTAGCAATGTTTTATTATAGCTTAATGAGTGTTTGAAGTGAAAATCATATACCCACACTTTTAAAAAATGTTAAAGGTACACACTGAACATTTCTGCTGTTTTGGGCAGGAGACTCCCTTTCACAGGTTGTCTATCACTTACCCTCTTTTTTGCATTGCACTTGCGGGGTTTCTGACTGTCCAGCAGCCTGTCATAAGTGGCCTCAGAAACTGGGCATGGATTGAGTCCATGTAGTACCTGAGTAACACACAGACACTTGAGATTTACAGCACATACCTCTCTGAGCTGAAGGTGTGTTAAATCCACCATGTCCAGCATATGGTCGATGGCCTGTGCAGAGTGTTTGCTCTATACATATGTAGTAGTGCTGATATGTCCTGGATGCATCAGTCTCACAAGCCATGTGATGTAGCTGCCTATTATGGGATGTGTCAGATTCAATGTGTGTGCAACGTCTCATGCATATCATTCTGTCTGGATAATCTTGGACAGAAATATGGGAGCCAGGTCTTTTGAATTTCAAATATTAGACAGAGATGAATAAATAAATATCAAATTAAATGTTAAGAACCTGGTGAGGTTTAATGGCTGCATAAAAGATGGGTGCATGAATTCTGATCTGTCTGTGCTGGAACAAATCAGAAGAAATGTCGTGGAGTAGAGAGAGGAACTAATTTCTTACAACTTTCATCATGAAGACAGTAGATTTTTAGTCTAAACCAGTGGTCTATGTTCTTCTAAAGGGAGTGGAGAGCTCAAAACCTCCAGGGGAAATTTTTCTTCTGCTGTTGCACCTATTGTAGGATGAGATAGGTCTCTCTGAATATGCCTTTCTCATTAATATTAGAAGGAACCTAACTATAGCTAAGCGAAGACGTCTTAATTTTTTGACAACTAAAATTAGGGAAGGTGAATCCCAGCTATTGATGTTAACATTTTAGATTATCTGTACACATTTATTTACTAGTGAATATCCATTCTAATCAAGTTGATGAACAGGCCTGTAGTCTAAGATTCTTGGGAAGTATTAACCTGTATAACTGTGGACCAAAAGCAAATGTGATACTATGGTGCATAATGCATAGGGGAAAGAGGAATATGAAAAATGTTATAGTGCAGTTATAAATCAATGATTCCTTATCATGTGGAATGGTGTTGTGCAGCACTTCTGAAAGAATCTTGCAGAATTGCAGTGCAAAGAAACAAAATGAGAATGATCCTGTGCTTGAAAAAAGCTTGCCCATGAAGAGACTTTGAAAAGACTGGGACTGGTTACCAGGCAAAGGAGATAAATAACATAACACATCATGAAAAATGTAAAAGGTAATGAAGAAGGAAGGAAGAAGTAGCTACTAAGAGAGAGAAGGAAGAATTCTTATGAATAAAACAGTAGTTGATCACTCTGAATTTATTGATTGACTTTTTATTTGATTGATCGATAGTTATTTAAGGATGCCTATCACATCACTAAGATTGGATAATTCTGCATAAATTTATACATGAAGAGAAAATCCTGTCCTCTGTTGTATGTTCAGTTCAGTTCATGGGATTGCTCTGATGTAGCCAGGAGCCAGTTTCATCATCATCTTTCATGGTTAATTCATGGAGCTTGCAAAGCAGGTCACTTATTTGTGAGAAAACCTTGGAATATATCTGAATTTATTTACTGTACCAAAAAGGTGCTAATTTGCTGAGCAACCTTGCCATTAAGGTCTGTGTCAGTTGTGTTCAATTATGTAGCTGTGCAGTACTGGAGCCCATCCTTTCTCTGTAGCTGCACCACACCCTTCCTTACTGGTGCCTTTGTGTACTCACTACTGAGAGTAACATTTTCTAAACTTTGGTGCAGAGATAACCTGCAACTGTCTGTAAGATTTGACTTCCTGACAGCTATCTGAACTGCTATTCTCATGTGCAGAGTTTACATTATAAAACCCAGAGGTCAGGGATAGGATTTGTTTTATGTATGAATCTAGTGTATTGATGTTTTGGACAATTCCTGTGGTAAAAATAAGTCAAAGAGGGAATTCTGGGGAAAATATTTTTCGAGTATTGTATCAGGGTTTCTAATTGAATTGTTCAGGTTGCTGAAAGAAGTCTGAAATGCAATACATTAATGAAAATGGAGATTATTTTTCAGGAAATTCTGTTTTGAATGAGAAGGCATTGTTTGGAGAAAAAGTTGTTATTTTTCTCTAAGTAAACAAATAACATCAGTGTTACTTAGTTCTTTAAAGACTGAAGAGAAGAGCAGGAAACAGATAAAGAGGTTCATGTGAAAATGCAAGAAAGCATGAGCAAATGTCATCACTTACTGCAGTGAGTGAAGAGAGCCTGGGCCAAGAAAGTCTTAACAGCTTATTTGTGGTGGTCTGAGAACTCCTAATCAGGGTATGAATACAACAGTGCATTCACTGGAAATCAGCTTTGCTCTGGGACAGTGGTTTCTGCAGAAAGCTACGTTTTTGTGGATAGACCTACAGCTGCCATAGGGAGCTAATTATTGCTAAGTTAAAGTAGTTCCAGTTACCTAAAGGTTATAAGCAAGCTATCTCAGGTACAATAGCTCGGTGATTCTGCTGGGTGCCTGGTGTCCTGTGCTGGATGAGCATGGATGCTAGCAGAGACTGCTGACATTCCCAGCACACTGGTGCAGATTCCTAGCTATGAGGAGAGCAGCAATAATAATGATGTGACCCTTCAGAATATGTGACATGAAGACTGCTGACAGTAGCACTGGTGGCCTAAGGAGATGAGGCAAAGTTTACAGGGAGAGGTGGTATTTTTCTATGAGGTTGGAATTGACAGAGTTAGAAAAGAGACAAATTAGCAGTCGGGCATATTCACAAGATCCTAAGGGACCTGAGGAAGGATTTGGTATCTGAAAATTGTCCTTTTTTTTTTTCCCAGCTGTAGATTTAGATCTCATAAAATATCTTTCCTCTCCCTATTATCTTTTTGTGTTTTCCTTGTGTAAACCCTTCAATGTGTGGCTTTCCTCCCAGAGGTCGTACCAGTCCAGCTCAGCATCCAGTTAGCAGTGTCCCCATTCCTCCCTTAAGCTTCTGTCTCTGTCAGCGCTTGGAGACCCTCAGGGTTACTTTGGCCTTTTTGCTTTGAACTGGCTGTAAGTCAGTGCAGAGATGGGTGATAAATAGCTATCTTGATTGTTTTTTATTTCTTTATTTTTCTCTGGGATGGTGCAGACTCTGCCATCCCAACAGAATGCAGCTGAAGTCAATCTGAAGTGTAGCTCAGACTTCCAGCACTTTCTATGGCAGTACATTATCACTTTTCAATGATACATGGGTACCCCTTCCTTTTCCACTCCCATTGTATAATTTATCAAGGTG